GCTGAGCGGTCGACCGACGCGGTCGACCGGTGCGGTCGACCGATCAGCGTACAGAGAGTTTCAGGTTTTGTTTTCTTTTACGGTTTTGATTTGGTCTTTTGGGTTTCGGGTCGGGTTTGGGAGTTAGTATATACACCAACTCAACCCAGGAGAGCCTCTCATCATCTGAGTTTTCAAACCCTAGCCCCCTTTCTCTCCCCTCTCAAAACCCTAGCTGGCATTGGTGATTTGGGGGAGTTCTTGAGGATTTTCAGCGGGATTCTGGAATTCCAGCGAAAGGAATCAACCTACTGCAGATCTAGGGCATTCGTCAACACCCAAGGCGAGTACCATCTCGCCCAATCCCTCACCCCTGTTTTCTATGATTTTCTTTTGAGTTTTTATGGGTTTTGATGAGCCAAAATGATATTTTTTTTGTATAAATGAACTCTCTACATATGGTTAGCAAGAATCAAAGTTTCAGTTTACAAGAGTTCTCAAATGTTGGGTTTTATAAAGATTTAGATCTGAAAATTTGCTTAAACAAAAGTTAAATCATGTTTACTGTAATCAAAACGTTTTGATCTCGTTTCTCTGTATTTAGAATGTTGGGACTATAGTTTACATGCTTAAAATTTATTGTTTTCCTATAGTATGATTTATAGAGACATTAGATCTGTATTATCGTAGAAAATTTCAAAAGTTTGTTTCAGGTTTAGCAGCTGACAGAAAACCCAGATTGGGTTTCTGTCCGCTTGGTGGTCGACCGGTGCGGTCGACCGCTGGGCTCGTTTTAGGGCTACGGTCGACCGCAGAACCTCATCGGTCGACCGCGATGCTCGGTCGGTCGACCGCGACGCTCGGTCGGTCGACCGCGAGGTCGCAGCGGTCGACCGTCAGATGCGTATCAGTGTGCGGTCGACCGGTGCGGTCGACCGCCGATCTCTCTGTTGAAATATCCAGTTTTTTGTGTAATTGAGTATTTTACTCATGTTCGAGGGTTTGTCTAGATTATTTGACATTATTTTTTTTACAGTCCTCGTGTTGGACTATAATCCATAGAAGTCCTCGTGTTGGACTATAATCCCTCTCAGTCCTCGTGTTGGACAATTGCCACTTATTCCATGAGTTTTGATAAGTAGATTTCACTACATGTATCGTAGCGATCCTTTTACTATTTTCTACAGTCCTCGTGTTGGACTATAATCCATAGAAGTCCTCGTGTTGGACTATAATCCCTCTCAGTCCTCGTGTTGGACAATTGCCACTTATTCCATGAGTTTGGAAACTATAATAGTTAGTTCTTATATCGGACATAGTTCTTAACCCTGCATGTGCCTATTAGACAGCTATTCACGACATGATAACTATGTAGATTTTGATATTACGCTTATGTAGATTTTGACATGACATTCATGTAAGTAATAACATGATGTTCATGTGGGCTATGTTTCAGCACTGTAATTATACTCGGTGTTTGTTAGAGGAGCCATAAGATCTACCAAGTACTGAGGAGCCTGCTGCGGCTCTGGTGGTGCCTGCTGAGGCTCGGACTGAGCTGGCTGCTGCTCTGATGGAGTCTGTTGTGACTCCGCCTGGGTAGCTCTCCTGGTACGGGGTCTACCACGTCCTGCCATCTCTCTGATCATAAGAAAATAAGAGTCTATGAGTCAAAATAGACTTCTATAAATAGCGTATCACAATAAGATTTTCACAACATATAGTATTGCACTAATACTTTAAACTTATACAAAAGTAGTTGTCATAAAAAAAAATTCTCAAATTTTGAGATATACGCATATATCGTCCTCACTCATACTAGGAAATCCTTACGGACTCTATACATGAATCCTAGGAAACTCTATCCTAGCTCCACTACTCGACACAGGTTGATCCTAATGATACTGGAACTAGAGCTCTGATACCAACTGTGACGCCCCTGGGTTCACACAAGGCTGCAGTCCTTGGTGAAACCAAGAATGTCAAACTTGCCATGCACCACACCGTGCAATAACATATTTTACCATCACAATTCTATCACTCTAGTAGAGTCAATAACAGGTGTAGGTATAAAAAAGCAAGTAAAAGATAATACAAGAGATAACTGATGGAATAATAGAGATCAAAATGCAATTTCATCATCCGACATGCAGATAATACAAAAATAATGTCTGAAGTGAATATACTGAGGTTCTCAACAAGCCTCAAATACAACAAGCCTGAATGAGGGGTATAAGGCGTACAGCCTTTACAACATCTATAGCGTAGTCCTCAAATGTATGATACCAACTACAGTGGAGCCCAAAGAAATTATTACATAGCTAAAATGTAAAGCTGAACACTAAAGTAGTCCACTATCAACCTGCGACTCTCCGTGCTCCTGGCTCGTGACCTGAAAGGGGGAGGGACAACGAGCGTCAAAGCACTAGCGAGTAACATCACAACCAACCCCAAGGGGAAAGGGCTTGTTGTATAAGAAAATACATATAATATATAATAGATCTAAAATCATTAGTCTTGCTAAAGAGGGTTTTAGTAGTTAGAAGTTTACAACACGAGAATAGGTACGTCGAGCGAAATAATCCAGACAAGGAAACCCTCATGTATATACCTTATATCTCAAATTTGTAAACTCCTAATCACCAAACCCGAGGTTCTAATACAGGAACAATAATAAATGAAATACAACAAATCTCAGAACACAAGCGCAGTACCATATCATAGTCTACATGAATGTCATGTCAAAATCATGTCGTGAACTTCTGTAAGAAGGTCATATGCAGGGTTGAGAAACTATGTCCGAAACAGGAACTTTATAAGGTAGTTTCCAACTCATAGAATAAGTGGCAAATATCCTACACGAGGACTGAAATGGATTATAGTCCAACACGAGGACTTCTATGGATTATAGTCCAACACGAGGACTGTGGCATAGAGGAAATATCGCTGTGATGTATATAATGAAGTCTACTTATATCAATCTACACTCAAACAGTGTATAAGTCTCCAAATCATACCCTCAGGTCATCTATCATGCATGGATTACATAGTGAGACTAAATATCAAGGTCAGATAGTCCAAGCAAACCCCCGAACATAAGTAATATACCCAAAAATAACCAGAACAGAAAATCACAACAGATAGTGCGGCGGTCGACCGCACCGGTCGACCGCACTCTGGTATGCGACTGGTGGTCGACCGGAAAAACGTCGCGGTCGACCGAAAATAAATCGCGGTCGACCGAAATAAATTTGCAGTCGACCGGAAGAACATCGCGGTCAACCAAAAATAAATCGCGGTCGACCGAAGCCTCTACACGAGCTCAGCGGTCGACCGCACATTCTGACCTTCCGCGCGCCCAGTGGTCGACCGATACGGTCGACCGCGAGACTGACAGAACCCATATTTGTGTTTTCTGTCAGCTGAAACCTGAAATAAAAATTTTTAAAACAAATACCCAACTTTATGGAAATGTTATGAAGCAGTAAAATCGTAAATTTAAACCTTTAAAACTTGTCACAAAGATCCCATACATTTATAAACATGATCTACTCATAGTTAACAATAAAAACGAGGTTTTTTTTTACTCCTTTTAAGGTAGATTCAGATCTAGATCTTTTAAACAGAAATCATTGGTGAGTTTTAAGAGCAAAGAATACATTAATTTCATACTTTATGCCATAATGTTCTATTAGCTATTCAAAAATACGAATTTGGCTCAATGAAACCCAATAAAACTCAGTTCTTGACATGAAAACAAAATGGGTGAGGGTTGGGCGAGAAGTTACTCGCCTTGGGTGTTGGCAACTGCTTTGGAGATGGT